GTTGGAAAGATAATTCAAATTATTATTATCAAGTGTAAACTCAGATGTTAGTCACTGGTCGTGAGTCGTGAGTAAGTAAGTAGAAATAATGACTTAAATCATAATGAAATAATCCCGAAAGCTTAAGAGTTTTTTGGCAAACATATGAAAATATTCCATACACATCCGTATCAACCTGACTAGTTTAGTGTATGGAACGGTTACGATGTAAGGTGAGAGTTGGACAACAATATTCGGAGACATTTGAAATAAACAATGGACTAAAACAGGGATATGCACTTTCACCACAACTCTTTAACTAAGCTCTGGAGCACATAATCAGAAGTGCAAAAATCGAAAAACCTAATACAGTATTTGATGGAGCAGGACCAAACTTACTTCTTGCATTTGCAGACGATATCGATCGAATAGGTAACACAGACCACGCGGACGCACTCATCTCCGGTGGCGAGATAATGTAGCAGAAGACATAAGCACTATGGGCGTGGAGAATTGGATGGAGGTTGCTCAAGACAGAAAACAGTGGAGGGATGTTGTCGAGTCGACTAACACCCACAAGTAAGTAAGTAGAAGAAAATATTGGAGACTGAAACGCCAAAACATATAATAATGCAAACACCAGTAGGGAGAAGGTCAAAGGGAAGACTCAAACTTAGATACACGAAACAAGTGGAACAAGATCTGAAAACACTTAAGATTACCATCTGAAAAAAACAAAGCAAAGAACAGAACAGAATGGCGAAAAATCCTAGAAGAAGCCAGGACCCAGAAAGGGTTGTCGAGCTACTGATGATGATCATGATATAAAAAATAGTATTTATAAACTCTGTAGACAATGTTAACGTGTACAACAAAATAAAAGACAAATAAATAGTCTTTATGATAGTGTTATTAATTTTTATCTATTATGTTGCTACGAAAATTTGCTAACATAAAGCATACAAATATTATCCTACTTCCCAATGGTAATAAATTGCTCGATAAATACTTAAGAATCTTATACGTTTTGCCCAAACCAATTATTCTCTAAACATATATTTGATTTGATGAAATTTTTTTGGTCGACATAGCTGGTCATGCTCAAGCTGGCCAAATTTGTTTTTCAAAAATTCTGACATATTGACAGCCACATCTTTTAAAGTTAAAATATCTTCTTCTAAAGTATCTGAAAACCTCGATCTGCTAATACTATATAATTTTTTTCAAGTAAATTAAACAAACCACACTTTTTAAGTATCTATTACTAATGGAACCTCCATAACTATCAGAAAGAAAAGATATGCAACATGTACTTGAAATGCCAACTAAAACCTTTTTGGGTATTATAAGACGTTAAATAAGTAAGTTGCTGTGATTCTGGATTTTTCGGTTGATCTACTTTCACGTCAGCGCAATCTATAATAACTGTGTTGGTACATTCACGGCCTTTGAACTAAACATTTTGATTAGCAATGTTAAGTGATACAGGATGTTAAGTTCTCTAGATTGACAGTAACGAAAGTTGATCCATGTGATAAATACACGGATAACTAATGTCCCATATATATCAAATTTAAATGCAAATTCATTATTTATTATATTGCGCCTTAATTTAACTAGTTTCTAGAAAACTCATTCGCCGGACTTGACACAGACACCTGTAAGCCTAGGGCCAAATCCAGTATAAAATTTGAGTTCTTCCAACTTAAACTAACATTGCAAAATTTCAATACAAAATGAGTTTAGCAGTACGCAATTCATAGTTGATGCATCATATTTGCGCATCTCTTGATGTTCATGACCATTTATATCCATTTGTGTTAACTGCATTTCAACCTCAATGCAAGGTTCTGGTGTGATTGGGTGTAAATAACTGATAAATGACATATGCAATGGTTTCTTTTTAAATGCTTGTTTTTATCATGCGTTCTTGTCTTTACTTGGCTGATTCCCATTTCTTTTCAGTCCTGTTTCTTTTCAGTCCAGCCGTTCAGCTAAAGACTTGGTATATCATCCTTCTTGAGTCTAATCTTTGCTGTAAAATAAACAAAAAAAAATTAAGTTTTCAAGAAATACTGCCTAAATTAACACATAAATACTTACGATTTTTGACAGTTGAATCCAGGGGCAATACGTAAGCTTCAACAAAATGTTGATAGCAGAATCGTGCATTTTTCTCATCAGATTATGTTTGGGAAAACTGTGTTCTGATGTTATTGATGGGCACAAATGTACAGCACAACACTGACGCATCTTGCACACAGCAAAATAAATGCAATATTTACTTAGAAATAAACAGATTTGGATAGTGGACGTGACCTTTAACTACACTACCGCCATCTACGTTCAGCTTTTCAGATTAGCTGCCATTGGCATAATTTTTCACTGGTGCATAAAGAACCAAAATTCAATAAATATCTTGAACTTTAACAACATAGAAAAAAATACATTTCCATTTTACTAAGAGCAATCGTTAAATTGACAGCGCTGGAATTTCTAGCGTTAAAGGCGGGTTGACACAATCACAGTGTACTTAGATTCCAACTTGAACCAAGTGGACTTGTACAAGTGTACTTGTACCAAGTTAGTTGCCACGGTTAAACGACTTGGATGCCAAATTAACCATTGTAAAGATGGCGAAAGTGATTGTGGAATATGTTGTAGTAGTTGCTGATATGTTAATACATTAGCTTGAAAAACAGAAAAAAGGATTAAAAAAAAAAGAAAACTTTGGACCCGTAATTGGTTACGTAAACGTAAAGCGCTTGAAGCTTCATCCAATTTTTTAAGCGAAGTAGCAAATGAAGATAAATGTACATTTAAAAAACCATTAAAGACTAACTACTAAAAAATTGAAGAACTATTGCAAATGGTTCACCCAAAAATTCAAAAAGGTGATACAAAAATGAGAGCAGCTTTACCTGCAAGACTAAAACTACAAATTACCCTTGGTTATTTGGCAAGTAGTTGCTGTTTTCTTACGTTGGAATGTTTATACAGAGTTCTGAAATCGTCGATATCTAAGTTTTTGAATACAGCACTTGATGCCATTTATATAGTATTTAAAGCCATAAATACTCGAATGCCTGGTTTACCACATTTTCATTAGTTTCAGAACCCTTTGTTACACTGTCTTGGCTGATGATGTCTGATTTATTGTGTGTAGAAAATGGCTCGGTCAACACTTCTAGTGTACCAGGTCGACTAAGGTGGTGGATATCACGAATGATAGTTATTTTGTACAGTACTATCAAACATATTTCTTTCCGATAACAATAATGCACCATTAAGCAGCTGATTGCGACGCATTACCATTAAACGCTACCAGTAAACTGTAGTAGCAAAGGGCTTTAAAGACCGTTGGAAGTTTTCAGGGTGCTGTGGAGCTCTTGACGGAAAACATATCAATATCGGGCAACCTATAGGTAGTGGAAGTGACTATTACAAGTATAAGGAATTTTTTAGCACCGTTCTTATTGCACTCGTTGACAGTGACTACAGTTTTATATTCATAGATGTTAAAAGTCAGGGGAGAATAAATGACAGTATAGTATTAAATAATTCTATATTAAAAACATGTATGGAGAACAATACTCTAATCTAACAATAATCTTTCCAAAATGGGGTGTAATCTTATCTTTCCAAAATGGGGTGTAATCTTGGGTGATGATGGGTTTGCCCTTAATCTCATCATATTATCTCATGAAATCATATTCTCGAAAAATGTCTTTAAGAACCGACGAAAAGATTTTCAATTACCGTCTATCTCGAGTGGTTGAGAATGCATTCGGGATAATGGCAATGAGATTTCGGATCTATCGTTGACCTGTTTACGTGTGCCCTGAAAAAGTAGATACAATTGTAAAAATCACGCGTGCGTTTCATAAATGGCTCAAGAAAACCTCTCGGTTGTCCTATGCATCTCCTAGCACGTTTAATGCTGAGGATCTGGATGGACAAATAAGACCTAGATCATGGAGAATTGATATCAACTCGAACATGTCACGTTTAAGAAATCAACAAGGCAGCAATAATTATTCTCAAATCGCAGAACGTAGAAGACAGAACTATACAAAATATTTTGCAAATGCTGGTGTCGCATCTTGGCAAAACGACATGATACATTAATTAGACTTTTTCGTAATTTAAAACTTATTTAAAAATATGCGACTATATATTTATCGGTTTTTAATAAACTAAATAAATATACCAAATACAGTAATGTCTTTATAATTTATTGATAATTATTATCGTGATAATATGAAAAAATATTACAAGTAATCATTTACCAGCTCAGAGAACCTTTTCTGATCTTCATTACATCACATAGAAATGGATCTCGATTTCAAACCACGCTATACTGAGCACATAAATGTCGTCAGTTGATGCATATGTTGTATTTGATGCTTTAATTTTTTCGGCTTCCTGGTTCAAAGTAGTTTGCATGACATTAATTTTTTTAATACCCTGTTTTTCGTGAGACCAGGAATATTCGTGTGCATTTTTATTAGCTGTAGGGCCGCACTTCTAGCATCCTTATTTTTATATTACTTTATCTGTAGATTCCACAATACTTCCTCAGCTTTGTATAACTCCATGAAGCTAACACTTTCCCAGTCAGACCATTTTCTGTTTGTGTTTACTTCAAGTTTTTGATACCGACGCCATTCTAATTTTACACACACTACTTGGATCCAAGTAGTGTGTGCAACATAGTAACCCTATCATAAAAAATATAAGGAAATTAAAAAATAAAACAAAACAAATTATTAATAAAGACAATTTACATTTTATAGTTTACATTCACTTCTAACTCAACCTCTGATTGTATATCTGTGAATACAAATAAAAATATAGTCTGGTCAATTGCCCCAGCCAAGGCCATACAAATAAAACACATTTATAATCAAATAAAACACGTATATAATACATTGGGTTTAATTATAATTTTACTATTCGTATTATACAACCATTGTCATCGTATTGTGAAGTTAATTCATTTGTTATTTTTATTTGTTTAGATCATTCACCGGGATCTGGCAGCCCGCAACGTTCTCATCACCGAAGACCACATCTGCAAAGTGGCCGATTTTGGATTTGCCAGAGATATAATCGCTAACCACATTTACGAACGAAAGAGCGAGGGGAGACTGCCGATAAGGTGGATGGCACCGGAATCTCTCTATGATAATATATTCACAGTGAAGTCTGATGTATGGAGTTTCGGAGTTCTCGTTTGGGAAGTCGTTACACTTGGCAGTACGCCATATCCGGGCATGTCCGCCGTGGACGTCATGAAGAAAGTAAGTATTTTCTTTCATTAAGAATGTTATTAGTAATGCAAAGGACAGCAATAAATTTAATTTGTACGAGTACGGAAGTTATATGTTGATATAATCTTATGAAATAGTTATTTATGTCCTAGTAAAAGCTACGAATTTATTATTGCTGAGGAACAGTATATATATAATATATATATATATATATATATATATATATATATATATATACATATATATATATATATATATAATATATATATATATATAATATATATATATATATATATATATAAGAGTAAGAAAAAAGAAGTACTTGTGACTCGTTTGGAAAAAATATAACACTGTTTTTGATGGGTTGGAGTCAATAAAAGGGGCTATTTGTTGACTATTTTTTACTCGAGCTTTCAATTGTGATTACAATTTTTATCAAGAGCTTCTAAAAATACAAAATGTCTTACAAAGTTGAACTAGAAATAAAAAATTTTTTGTTAACTCACCAAATAAAATTAGTTTTTTATATAAAACTACTGCTTACATAATAAATACAAAAAATATTAATAAAAAAATGCCTTATTCTAATAAATGTTTCTCTGAAAAATTTAGATGAAGTTTCTTAAGAAAAAAATTGAATTTATAAACAAAAATAGAATAGCTACAACCAGCCTAAAATGTCATAAATACTAACTTAAAAATTTTTATTTTTGACATATTGTCAAAAATAAAATTTTGTTTAAAAAATTCTTCTTTGTTTAGTAACAAAAAAGAAGAAGATTTATTCACCATTGATAGATGCCCGAAAAAATGTAACAAATACATGGAAAATTCAAAATGTGATATTTTACTGACTGCATAAATTAAATAGAAATTATATAATTATAAATTTTGCTTAAATTTTGAATTTCTGACCTTTTGTTTAAATTATTATCACTTTTGCTAATACAAACCATTTCCAAAAAAGTTCTTTTAAATTTATTACTTTCATTACATAAAATTTTAATATTATCAAAATCCATAATATGGTCTTTGTCTATTACATGCTCTGCCAAAGCACAAGATGGTTTCTTAATTCTACAATCACTCTTGTGAGAAATAATGCGATTTGAGAGATTTCTTCCAGTCTCACCAATATACTCAGCTTCACACTGAGTACAAACAATGCTGTATACTACATTTGTTTGATCTAATTTGTCTATAGGATATTTAGTTTTGGAATATAAAGATGAAATAGTTTTGATGTTCTTTGTTGCTATTTTTATATTGTCAATAACCTTTAATGTTTGTATTAATTTAGGAGTTAATGATGGTATAAAAGGTAGTGAATGATAATATATGTTTTGATTGTTGGATACAGTGTTTTGAGATTTAGCAAAAAATGGTGTTAAGTTATTTATATTTAATAAATTAGAAAAAAGCATCCTATGTAGCATATCAGGAGGATAAGAGTTTTCAATTAAAATATTTTTTAACAAATGAAGATCTTCTTGTAGGTAGTCTGGATGAGAAAGTTTTAAAACACGTTCGTTTAATCCTGTTATAAGGTTCATTTTCATTTTATTTGGATGATTAGAGTAATAGCTTATAAATCTATTACTACATATGGGTTTTCTGAACCATCTAGTTTTCAACATATTGTCTGTATTTCTTACAATTCTCATGTCAAGGAATGGTAGAGAATTATCTACCTCTTCCTCAACTGTAAATTGTATATGTTGATTATGATTGTTGAAAATGTTGACTGTTTCAAGAATTTTGTGTTTAGGAAGTGCCAAAACTAGATCATCTACATATCTTTTGATAAATGGAATGAAAAAAGTGCAATTATTGATACAATCACTAATAACATCATCCATGACATAGCTACTTAGAATGGGTGAAAGACTAGATCCCATAGGGCTACCAAAAATTTGTTTATAAAAAACACCATTAAATATAAAAATATTAGAATCAAAAACAAAGTTGATGAGTGTTTTAAAATGTAATAAGTCAATATTAGTATGTTGCGAAATCTCATTCCAATGTTTTTCAACACTACTTATGATTAAATTTAAAGGTAAATTAGTAAAAAGAGATGTTACATCAAAACTAACTAAAACATAATTTTGTGGTAATTGGAAATTATTAATGAAAGAACTAAAATCAAATGAATCTTTTATGTAAAAATTGTTGTTTAAATTATAAGCATTGGTTAAGATGTCAGTGAGGAGCTGTGCTATTGGTCCATTTGGAGGGCATAGAGATGAAACAATTGGTCTCATAGATAAAGTTGGTTTATGTATTTTAGGTAGAGCATAAAACCGTGGTGCAATAGAATTATAAATTTTGAGTTCTTTTGCTTTTTTATTATCAATAAATTTCTTACTGTTTAATTTTGATACCAGACAATTTGCTTTTTGTAGTAAAGTACAAACAGGACTCCTTCTAAGTGTAGTGTAATACTTAGTATCATTTAAGAGTTCTCCAGTTTTTTGTAGGTAATCCTCTTTATACATTACAACAGTTACGTTACCTTTATCGCTTTTGACAATATAAATTTCAGGATGGTTTTTAAGAAAAAGTTTAGTTTGTAAATAGTATTTATTTAAAAAATGATCTTTGACTTCTTTATGTAAAAAGTTTGTAATGACGTTTGTACATTTAGATCTAACAACATCCTTTTGATTATCATTAAGTGGTCTTAAGATGTACATTGTGCTTTGGCTTTGGCAGAGCATGTAATAGACAAAGACCATATTATGGATTTGATAATATTAAAATTTTATGTAATGAAAGTAATAAATTTAAAAGAACTTTTTTGGAAATGGTTTGTATTAGCAAAAGTGATAATAATTTAAACAAAAGGTCAGAAATTCAAAATTTAAGCAAAATTATATAATTATATAATTTCTATTTAATTTATGCAGTCAGTAAAATATCACATTTTGAATTTTCCATGTATTTGTTACATTTTTTCGGGCATCTATCAATGGTGAATAAATCTTCTTCTTTTTTGTTACTTAACAAAGAAGAATTTTTAAACAAAATTTTATTTTTGACAATATGTCAAAAATAAAAATTTTTAAGTTAGTATTTATGACATTTTAGGCTGGTTGTAGCTATTCTATTTTTGTTTATAAATTCAATTTTTTTTCTTAAGAAACTTCATCTAAATTTTTCAGAGAAACATTTATTAGAATAAGGCATTTTTTTATTAATATTTTTTGTATTTATTATGTAAGCAGTAGTTTTATATAAAAAACTAATTTTATTTGGTGAGTTAACAAAAAATTTTTTATTTCTAGTTCAACTTAGTAAGACATTTTGTATTTTTTAGAAGCTCTTGATAAAAATTGTAATCACAATTGAAAGCTCGAGTAAAAAATAGTCAACAAATAGCCCCTTTTATTGACTCCAACCCATCAAAAACAGTGTTATATATATATATATATATATATATATAATATAATATATATATATATATATATATATATATATATGATTAATAGAAAATATTTAAACACATATAAAATATAAAATAATAATATAACAATAATCATAACACTAATTCACTCGGTTTTTGAATTATTATCTGACCCCAGCAGTGCTACCTATTACTTCGATCCGCCTCGAAGGACCAATGGAAAGTTTCGTACGTAGTTATAAGGTTCAAATCGTTTATAATGTCCCTGTGTCCGCTTATTGTCGATCGACGATGATAAAAATAATAAAAGGTTGAAGTTGTGGAGTAAAAGTGATGGTTTTATTGACAGCTACTGGTAATTACACAATATGATGTTCGTTAGGTAACTACTTATGATAAACTGTACTCAAATAAGCTCAAATCCCCAATTTATAATCTCACAAATAATTCATACCTCAGCACAGAGGTTATTGCTTTCTATCATACCATACTTTGAACTATTTGCTTACATTACAATTTAATCTAGGCCTTAATTGCGACACTTAGGAAGTTCAATTAGAAAATATATTATTCGGCAATTTATTTAGTTGTAGGTAAATGAACAAATTATTAAAATATTATACGATATAGTTTTACAATAGCTCACGGTGAAACTATAAAAGATTAAGAAGTTAAGAATAATGTGAGATTACAAATTAAGGGTTAATTTGTGATTGAACAATGTGACTTGTCATCCTAGCCTTTTATATAGATAGATTCTCCCCATTTTAAATGTACGTAAAAATATGAATTTGACTATGTTATGAACGTAGTGATCCTACAGTGGGATCTTTAGGCTATATGATATTTTTTTCGTTTTATTATTTTGTTTTTAAGTTGTGATTTTGAAAGTATAATATATATATATATATAAATATATATATATATATATATATATATATATATATATATATATATATATATATATTCTATTCTAACTTGTATTCATAGTTCGCTACTTGTATTTTTTATGATCATATTTTTATTATAACTGGTATTGTAAAATTCAAATCCTCAAAATTTAATTTATAATTCGAATGTATTATTATTTTTTCATCTATAGAAATTAGTTTCCTCATTAGCTCTTTGTTTTATGAAATTTCTCACCAGTAACAGTGAATACAGCGTGATTTTCTAATGAAAACAAAAAATTTAATATCCGAATAATCAAAACTGATGGCTTTAACATAATACATTTTGAAGGACAGTAATAATTATTTGGGAAACTATTGATAGTTGTCGAAAACGCTAAATTTAGGAAAGTATTTATTATTTCGAAACTCTAATTAAATTTTAGGTCGCCACAAGTCACATTTTTCCCATTTATTTTCGAGCAGTGTATCAAAAACTGGAATTTATCAGCGCGGGGAACTCATGCGCGTGAAAAAAATAGAACATGAAGAACAAAGGACTGGCGGCAGAGTGAACCTACTGATTCTTTTTACGCGATATACTGATATATATATTCTTTTTAAGCGATATACTGTGTAAACGGAGTATTTGATTTGCATCTCGTACAATTAGTAGATGAATCAAAGTAATCAAACATTAAAAACCTGTTTAAATATTTCAATGTGAGCAAGAT